CCAAAGAGAATCGACGAGTGGCGTTTCTGGGTCCTCACTGATATCAAATGCAAGTCGGATCGATAATACAGGAGCACTCCGCCTCCACTGCCAGGTCGATCGTTTCGTATGGAAATCCTGCCTGGTAGTGCAATCTCATCATCGGTGGTCGCTGTGTTCAGCCATATTTCGGTGACCAAAACTAGGTCCCAAGGCGTGTAGACCTGACGAATACGAAGTTCGGTTAGCTTGCTGAGAAGATCATGTGCATGAGTATACAAGCAGGCCAGGGCATCAGTGATTAGAAGCATGTTTGTGAATGCTGATTTCCAGTGAGGGTCTATGCCGACCCTTGGGGGGTCAGCTGTCGGTCACTTTTTTGTAGGACCGATGACGTAGGCCCTGGGGCCAGTTCAGGCTGTCGTATAATGTCCTCAGCGCCAGCAAGTGCGTGATCATCCTGTCTTCGTTTTGCTGCCGGCCTGTTTTAGTATCGTCTCCGTTCTGCGCTACACCGTGACGGAATGGTATTGATAATTTGCCTGCTCAGTGTTACCTTATCTACCTCTTGTGCGGTGCCTATCGCCTTTATACGTATTTCGGACGGCAGCATTTTACGCTTTTTGTGCCACATTTTGATAACATGTTCCGCTATCAGTTCGCAGTGCAACGATATCTTAATCACTCGGGAACCACCCCCTTTGTAGTTAGGTGATAGCGGTAACTTGGGTGTCGAATTAGCGATAACGTCATCGAACGAGAGCATTTCATGAATAAAACTCCATACATCCTAGTCATACGCTTTGGCCTCTAGCTCGTTTAATGTCCGGGGCTCGGGACATCGTAAACAAGGATAGATTTTACGTCTTGTTGTTTACGGAAATCCTCCGGATTTTGTTTGCCTTTCTGGCATTCGCTCCAAGGAAGATTTGGAAAAATTAAGGCATTGTATTCTACAACATGTTACCAGTGAAAGGGATTGAGGTATGCTTGTTCAAGAAAATCTGGGTAAGTTCCTTCAATGTTCGACAGCGGCAGATATTGCAAATATGAACAAATGGTGTCTGCAGCGAGCTCTTGGTATTTTTGCGCGAGAGTTACTGTCTCCATTGGACAACTCGTAATTTCGTCCCTCACGAGGACCATGCAATTCAGGCTGAGATTCATGGTTAAAAAGAGATATTGGCCGCCTGGACCAGCCCCAAAGAAGATCAATCAAGACAAGACTTAGATTACCCGGTTTCAATTACGAATTGTGTCTTCGTTCCATCGATCTGTTCTCCTCAGCATACCGACGACTTCATGCGAATCTCATTCTCCTATACCAGGTGGCTATCCATGTGAATCATAGCTTACCCTAGCCCACTACAATCAATGCCGACACCGCAACTATGAAACTAGCAACGTAACACTGCCGTACGGATTGCAGAAGGTTTTTACTCTTAGAAGCTGTCCCACTGGAATGCATTACTTGCACATGTGGTGGGTTCACTAAACATCTTGACCATCTGACGACTATTGGACATTTATCTAAATGATCACTGCTACACAACTAACTATATATGTATATATATATATATATATATATTCGTTTAGTTTGGTACCCCAGCTACTTTCTACGTAGCAACACTCGATTTACTGGACATAAACCTACTCCTACGGTTCAAAAAGGTAACTGATCCGAAACACCGATATAGTTTGATCAGTCCGATGGCTAAGAGCAAGCAGGTGCCAAGCTCACTTCGAGCTGGAAGGCGAGAAGTTCCAAACAATAAGTACTGCTTTACATTGCTTCCTCCCTATCCTCAGCGCCTGAGACTACTTTAGCTGATTTCATCCCGTTGAAGTATACAATCATCGAAGAACTAGGAGCAGCAGGCTTCATGATTCGATTACTCAGATCCGAAAACACTTCCTGCACGACAAACGGTCCTTCCCAATTCCGACGGAGTTTTGCAAGATCGCCTGATGTTTTTACCGCTGTTTTAAGCCAGACAGCATCACCAGATTTGAACGGGCATCCGAAAAGTTTTCGGTCGAAGTAAGCCTTCTGGTGTTGCTGTGACGTCTGCAAATGCACCTGTGTCAACTGGTGGGTTCGCAACAGACTCGACTGTAACCGGAGTATATGCTCCGATGCGATTAGGGGTTCATGGAGTGTGGTCGGCAACAAAGTATCCGACGGTAGGCGCAGGTCACGTCCATTCATCATAAGGTGTGGTGTTTGACCTGTCGATGAGTGGACAGATGCTCGATAAGCCAGTAAACATTTACGTAGGGCTGTGTCCCATTCGTGAGGTGACTCGCTATTCAGAAACGACCGTACTAATGCCTTCAGTATACTGTTTGGTATGCTCAACTAGTCCATTTCATTCCGGATAATATGCAGTAGTCCTCGTCTTCCGGCTGCCGAAAAGCTGACACAGCTCGCTCATGTACAGATTCTCTATGTTGGTTCCGCGGTCAGTGTAACTGATAAGGTGATCCCCACCTAGCCATGCAATAGGTAAAGAAAGCTAGGACCACAATTGAGGCGTCTGCATTCTGAAATGGTACAGCTTCCCAACACTTGGTAAAGTGGTCCACCATGATGAAGACGTAACGATGGCCTCTAGCAGTCACTGGCATTGGGTCAACGATGTCGATACCCACGATCTCGTTTGGAAATCCGTCTGTCATTGACTTCAATGGACCTCGACGTGTGGTTGTGAGGTTCTTGATGCTTGCGCAATCGGTGCACGACTTACAGTATATAGCAACATCACCCTGTTGATGGGCCTCCAAAACCGACCTCTGATAGCAATCACTTTTTCTCTCCTGGGTGTCCTAACTCTGCATGGATCCTTCGCATAATTCCCTGTGTTGCAGAGGCGATCACAACGCATTTGCTCAGCTAAGCTGGTCCATCTTGGAAATACCTAACACCGTCGATTACGCGCAAATGCGGCCATAGTGACCATAGGCATTCAGTTTCCCAACTGGCATCGGCTAGCTCCGGATGCGTTGGTTAGTCTTCATTCCGGATAATGCGGTTATACAAGAAGCTTAGCTCCGGGTTCGTCGATTGCAATTCAATCTATTTGTCTACCTTCGGTGCGTCCAGGACGACGGCAATTATACAAGCCGCTGTGCACGATGAGCATGGTCCAGGATTTCTGGCACACCATCGGGATAACGGGTCGGTATTCCCATGCTTTGTGTCCGGGTGGTGTTGACATTCAAAGCTATATTCCTGCAGTTGTTCCTGCCAACGGACGATATGTCCCTCAGCGTTACAAAAGTTTTCGAGCCAAATCAGTGATTGGTGGTCAGTACGCACAATGAACTTGTGGCCGAGTAGACAGTGCCTAAATTGCTTGCTGAAAAACACCAACAACAGCATTTCCTTCCTTTTGGTGTCATAGTTGTGCTCCCTCTGCGAAAGACTTCTACTGGCATACGCGATCACCGGTTCCATTCCTTTCGCCATGTGTTTTGAGATTACCGCTGCAATGCCAGTGTCATTAGCATCTGTGTCCATTTTGAAGGTGCCCTCGGATGGACGCCTGTCAGGGTATATCAAAATCGGCGTTTCACACAATGCAGTCCGAAATGTTTGAAATGCCTCTTGAGGCACACTTCCGCGACTGAAAGTTTGACCAGCCTTCGGAATTTCCTTTAATGGACTAACGATGTTGGTAAATTGCCAAACGAAGCGCCGATAGTAGGAGGCAAGGCCGAGAAAACTACGCACTTCGTCATTATTGTTTGGGACTGGCCTTCGCCGGTCCACAGCGTACTCCTTCTCCAGACACGATGTGACCTAAGTAGACCACTTCTTCCCTTAGGAATTGGCACTTTTAAGGTATAAGTTTTAACCCCAGCTGCGATGGACGATCTATCAGAGCTATTAGGCTCCGATTGTATTCTTCTATTGTTCTACCATGCACAATGATTTCGTCCAACTAAACTAGATAATGTTTCAGTATGATCTATTCTAGAGCTGTGTGCAATAGCCGCTGAAACGTTGCAGGTGCATTTGTTAAAGCAAACGGCATGGTTTGGAATTCGTACAATCCGGACGGGACAATAAAGGCAGTCTTGTACCTGTCGTCAGGGTGAAGTTCGACCTGCCACTAGCAAGAACCCAGGTCCAAGGTAGTGAACCAAAGTGAGCCGCCAAGAGCATCCATCGTGTCATCCATTCTTGGTAACAGGTAGGAGTCCTTTCGAGTAACTGAGTTTGACTTCCAATAATCTACACAGCGCCGCAGTTCCTCACTCTCCTTTTTAACAAGAACTATGGGCGATGCCCAGGGCGATTTGGACCGTCGAATAATATCGTAGCAGGTCTTCGTTTATGCGCGTTAATTCTTCCTGGAATTGAAGAGGCACATGTCTTGTTGGTTGTCCAGTCGATAGAGCGTTGCTTGTGTTACTGCGGTGTTGTAAAAGTTGCATCGACCTATTTCGTCTTCGAACTAAGCAAAGTATGTTGGTAATTGACCAAAATGTCTTCCAATTTACTACTGGTAAACGTGGTAGTTTCGCAGCCCTTTTCGAGTGAATTGTTGAACATGAGTCTCTTCTTACGCACAAGACACCACAGGACAGTTGGTAGAGACGAATGGTATTATATCCTTTTCGACTTTCAAGGTATTGCTTACCAAATTAATTTTATCGAAACGGGTAAGGAGGTCCACTCTTAACACTACGTCCAGTGGAAGAGCACTGACAATAAAAGTCGATGGGTGGCTGAACTCTCTCCTAGCTTTAATTTGGCTGTGGTCCAACCTAGGCACTTGACAGCGGTCCTGTTGGCTGCCATCAAATTCACCGAACTGTCTTGGAAAATCTCTGCGTCTGTTGGAACGATACACTTTCGAACTAGAGAGCATGTGGCTCCCGTGTCAACCAAAATTTTGACCCCATTAGACCACCAAAATAGAAACACGTGGGGGACGGCCGCACCGTGCACTCCAGCTACGGCCGATACAGTAAAGGAACACCTTCCGGACCCATCACGTCTGTTTTGCTCACGGATGTTCGCAGTTACCCCGAACTTCAGGCGACGCAGATCATTTTGCTGTGGGCTTCTGTCTGATTCGATAGTGGGACGGTTGGTGATGATAACATCCTTTCGTTCAACGCAACTCAGTGACCCACCCATAGCTGTATCCACGCGCGCAAGTTTCTCCGCTAATTCCAGAACCTCGCCCAATTTCTGTGGTGGGTGTAACCTGAGCTCGTTTGATAGACGGTGTATGTACTCTTTCCATCAACTGTTCCAAACTACGTTTCTCCTGTACCTGTCGATTCTCGTTCGCGAACACGCGCTCACCAAGGTGTTTCAGATCAAAAATGATAGCTCTCAGGTTCTCGTTTGACTGTTGCTAACGAGCGTGGAATGCCTGGCACCGTGGCGTGGGAAGCATGATAACTCCAGGAGTGGTGCGAGTTCCTCAGAGGTTGTTGCGTTAACCTTTTTCTCCAGTACTTTACCATCGGACATAATGTCCAAGGTTTCATCCGCAAGTCATCCTAGCAAAAGGTTTCCCTACATGGCCACTGGCAAATTCAGCGTGTACGCTCTCGCCTGCTTCACCCATCTGGAGTAGTGCTTACTGAAAGAAAATTTTCCCTGAGCCGGAATCATAAGGATATTTTGAACGACTGTAGGTCGATGAGCTAGATCCTCCAAAATACTGGACAACTTTCTCAGAACTGATGAAAAGTCAACCCCAGCTGCTCCTGCAACTTCAGCAGGAACTACTGAAAACATTTCAATTATTTCCTACAAATGGTTATCATGAAGATTCTCGCAGGGTCGCCAATATATATAATCTTCGTTCAGTTCGATACCCAAAGTTCTATGTAGAAAAACTCGGCGGTGTGCGAAACAAATAGTATTAAGCAACCGGAGTTAAATCAGTCATACAAATCACAAAGAGCACACACATAAGCCTACGCGTACCATTCCAACAGGTAATCGATCAGAAACGCCGACATATTTCGACCAATCCAATAGCAAACAAGGGAACCATAGTTTTATATGGGGTAAGAAAGCTAATGCTTAACTGGTCCAGCAGGATGGTTATGGTGAAATTTCAAAATATATAAAATTGTTTACAAAATTGGGTTTACACCAATGAACTCACTGAAGTATACGTAGTACAGACTGTAAGTGCAAGATAAATGCATAAGAAAGGACGGCGAATGCGGTGTTGATACAAATCATGTCTACTTTGGTGTACACATAGATGAAAAACGTAGAATGAAATCTGTGATTTGACCGCCAATAGAATCTCTTATCCATGGGTGCTGAGTCCTGTGAGATGGTGCAGCGCAATAAGTGCACGGTCAATCCGGACTTTGAACTCTGCAAGCATGGGAGCACATATGACAGACTCCTCTAGGGCATTCACGTACGGTAAACGCGTACGGTAAAGAAATTCCGACCGTATTCCAAGCGACTGTGCTGCTCTGGCAGTTTGAGATGGTGGCCTCTCAAATTGCTGTTGTGACTGAGCTCTAACAAGTAACGGCACTTATGTTTGGGACCTCTCGAAATTTAATAAGTCAAAATGAAGTCCCCGCGCAATCGCTGATCCTATCCTCTGAAGACCCTGAGCACTTGTATCCTTCGTACATACTGCAAATTATACCAACCATTAACATTTTTAGTTGCCCGATTTTTGGGTCTCCAAGGCTGTGAGATCTCTCCTCAGCCGTGGCTACCAGACCTGTATTGCGTACTCCACATTTGGTCGTATGTATAAGCCGAGTTGTGGAAATATTGAAGAGTCGTATCGTCTGAATGCACGTTTTGGGAGGCCCACATGTTGGATGTCCCTCCTAGACGGCGTTTCAGCCTTCTCCGAAAATCCAAGGTCGACCTAGACCAAAACTCCCAGATCCTTCTCTCAGAAGACCTTTGAAACTCCTGCTTGCCGAGTTTGTAGGAATGCACCAACTTTTGCCGTAGATGAAGCACTCTACATTTCTCCACATTGAATCGAAGTAGATCCTGATTTGACCACGCGTATACAATATCCAGTCCGGTTTGAAATACCGTGACATCACCTAATGTATTGATTGCCCTCCACACCTTGTTGTCATTACCATACAGAAAGCAGTTCGAGGTATGTAATATCGTTAATATACGTCAAAAATAATCGCGGTCCTAGCACTGATCCCTGCGGTACTCCGCATTCCACTCGGGTGGGACTTGACAGCAATTCACGCACACGTACTTCCAGGCGCTGCTGTATAAGAAAGCTTATCCATCTTAGGAGACGATCACCAATATCCAAGATCTTGACTTTATATAGCAGAATGCTATGGTCTAACTTGTCGAACCCCTTAGAGAAGTCGAGAAAGACTACATCTACTGCTGTGCCAGAGTCTACTGCTTCAGTCCGGCTAGATCGTTTTAGTAGTAGATTGGTACGGCACGATCGATTTCGTCGGAAGCCATGCTGTTTCGGCTGGGAGGTAGTTAAATTCTTCCAAGTAGGCGGTTAGCTCATCAGAAATGGTAGCTTTCGTGACTTTTGAAAGAATAGGTAGTAAAATTATGGGACGGTAGTTGGCTGGATTGGAACGACTACCTCCCTTGTGAATAGGGGTAATCATCCCGTGTTTCCAAATGTCCAGCACCTACATCGTCATTGCAGTGTTGAAAGAATCGAGCCAAAGTCTCAGCTAAACTCTCTTCCACCGCCGCTAGCGGTTTCGTGTGTATTTTATCAACTCCAGGAGAGCTGTGCTTGCGCATGCTTAGCAGCTTTTTAGCACAGCTTCTGCTGTGAAGGATATGTGAGTGAGTTTTGGGGATAAAACAAATATTGTCATAGGTTTAAGTGGCCGCTGATCGCACTGAAATGTTGCAGCATATTATAGGCGCAAGGTATTCGTCGCCTGCTTCGGTGTCCGTGTGGGTCCGCTATTTGAAGAGGAGTAATTCTCCGTTTCACCTTACGTAGACTATTGACGTGTTGATACAGAAGCCAAGATCACCTCTCGCTGGAAGGCGAGGAGGTCCAGCCAATAAGTACTGCGTTAACTTATATATATCTAGTGTGGTTGCTTACCTGTTGGGGTATCCGCAGAAAAGTTTTGCTTTCTCTCCTCTTTTTTAGGGATGTTATACACCGGCTTACCTGCGACGGGAAACGCCTCGTGGTTCACCTCAAAAAAGATAAGGTACAGAATTGTAAACCTTCTTTTCTTTTCTCGCGTGACTGCTCTTATATATTTTAGATATAATTGGGGTAATGTATGATATTTTTCAACAATCAGTCTATTACAATACATGTCTGTGACAGCCGCTTCAACACACCACCTGGCTACATGGGGTTCCTTAGTTTAACCCATCACATCGTACTTAAACACGAACCCAGTCTTTCATGTGCGACAAGTGTTGATTTGGAGAAAGCAACTTTTCAGACCACGAATGAAGGCTTCCGTACTTGGTTTTTATTTCCATGCTTTTTACAGACAACATGTTTGCCTAGTTGCCATCTTTTATTAGATCAGTTCAGTTGATTACAGGTATGTTAAAAGCAGTATCGTTAACATACTGCTAAGAATTTTTGATTCGGTTGAAGCATTTTATTCTCACTATTGCTATAATGACGCATGTCCCAGTATTTCAACTTTCCAACTGACCCAGTTTGTCCATCTGGTGATGATCCATTATTGATCCATTGGAAGTGTGTGAAAGTCTGGACTAAACTATCAGGTGCTATTGACTCACCTCACTCTCCAGGTTGGAGTTCAAGTGAAGTACCTGCGTTCTGTTTCAGGGACCACAGAACACTACGCGCAGCTGACCACTGCATTGTGTTCCGTTGTCTACTAATTAAAGTACCTGTCCAGCATGCATACGATGCCGAGTTATCTGTGGCACAGATTGCTTGAAACGTAATGAAGCTGTTTCACAGATGTGGGATATGTACTGGGGTTTGCCAGTTTCCCTGATGGATACATCTGCCCCGTGAATATGAGTCCCAACTCATGAGAAAGAAGGTTGGGAATACCATATTCTATCCACTTTTGCTTTATACCTTGTTCGGACTTTACAAAAGCAAAAGCCTATAACCATTAACAATTGTTTCCTTTATATTTTGTCTCATTCCTTTATATGAAGGTTATGCGCTTATTTTACACCTTGCGAACAACACATAGCGAAGGCGGAATACGATTGTTGAGTTGTCTCAATCACTATGTTCCGATGACAAACAGGGTAAAGATAGCAGACTAGTACTTGTTTAAATATTTAGTTTTGCTTCCTATTGTCGCCCTATCAGGGTCCTGATTTTGTTTAGTTCTTCCAGTGCCTTTCTGTGTAATGCCCGGAATGGTGGATGCAAATATTCCAGCACATAATAGCGCCCGACCATTTTGTGTATCAAATTATCTTTAATTACACCCATACCCCGATAATTTACAGCTTACAGAAGTGCCAGATCCTTACTAACTGAAGACAGCCATGGTCGCTTAGTCGGTGAAGTTTATCTTTACGAATAATTAGCTTAGGCCTAACGGGAACAGCAACTCGGATTCTCTGCATTGCTCTGTTATTAACTCATCTGTGGTGTGCATCAAATTTGCTGGATGACAAGCAAGTGCACTGTGATCGTTTTGTCGCACACGAATACTAAATATTTAGAATACAGAGCGAAACTATAAAGTTATGTGTTGCTCCATCGTAGGCGGATCGGCCACATGCGCGGAATCACGTCGCTGATTCCTGCGCGGTGGCAGCATATTGTAGCTGCACTACCTCCTATCCGGGTGCGATACGCTCCCTGTAATTGTAGTCCGCAAAGTGGGAGTCAACCAATCACTTAAATTTGGACGCAGATTTCGCCTCGACTATTTGTTCCAATATTTCACCACTCGAGGCTCGAAGCGTGGAGGCTGAACGATGCACTTTGAATTCGGTACCAATAGTTCGTACCGGTGTTTGCGTCTGATACTTGTTGAGCGAACCTGCAGCAGCGGGCGCAACATAGGGAGGTAGCCCAGATGCAGTATCCGATGTGTCATAATGAGATTAACTCGAAGCCGATGATATGACAGGGTATAAAGCGTCCCGTACGACATGTCCCTTAAAATGGGGATGAGCCGGGTAGCTACATGCTGGACCCGTTCCAGTCTCTCCATCTCACCTATTGTGATCGGACAATAGGCGGGTGAACCGTACTCAGGCACCGGTCTTATCGTGAAAGAGAACAGAGGGGTGGCAATCTCTTCATATCAAATGCCGAAGCTACGTCTAAGCGCTCAGACCGGGTGTAGTCTGTTTGCCTACAGTCTCTTCGCGTTATCGAATGATTTCAGATCACAGCGAGGGAATACGCCTAGATTCTTTACGGAACTGGTGGGATACATCGGGTGACCGGCCACGGTGTATGCACGCCCATTACCACCCCATCCGAGACTCCTAAACGAGGAGTTGGCCGGGTTGACCGGTAGGTCAGCTTCTGCAGTCCGCCTGGATAGGCGGTCGTGGTCCTCCTGAAAGACTTCCCGGTCGCCGGCAGAAGTAATAATCCTTCAAATCCTCTGGTCGTCTGCAGATAGTTGTGCAAGGCGACCGAGGAAGCTGAGGCACTTCGTTGATGTGAATCAGGAACGAACTGAGCCCGTACTGTGCCTTGTGGTACGCCACTAGCGGACGGGTACCATTCCGTTAGGTGGTCATCCACCTGAAACCGCTATCCTCTCCCGATAAGGACGTCGCTGATCCACTGGTGCAGTGCGCCACCACCACCACACATCCGCAGCTTGTGGAGCAGAACCTCATGCTTTACTTTCGCGTGAGATTTACTGAATTCAATGTAGATAACAACCACTGACTTCCCTCTGTTCAACGCTTGCAATCATTTCTGCTGCATCAACAGCAGATTGGTGATTCACAAGCGGTACTTCGTGAAGCCATGCTGTGCCGGCGTTAGGAGATCCTTCGACTCCAGCAGCTGGAGAAAATCCTTTTTCACAATCTTTTCGGGCACCATCGCCAAAACTGAGATGAGACGAATCGGCCGGTAATTGTCCTCATTGCGTGAGTCACCGCCTTTTGGAGTCGGCTTCACTAACGAGCAATTCCAGTCGCTCGGCCATACACTCTCGGACAGCGATCTGTTGAATGGATCCGTCAGGACAGGTGAAATGATGATTTCACTGGTCCAGCTTTCCGATACTTGAAGGGTACGAAACGCACACACCTGGGTTGCGCACCCTCTTTTATAACCGACCAACAGAATTCAACAGGTAAATCTTATGGCAGCGACCAGTCTAGTTCAATGGCGGCTCGATTGAGACCATCGAAGTCGGTCTTTCAATAATTGTTAGACGGCTCCGGCGGACGCGAGTAAGGCAGCGGCAGCTCTAGTCTGACCAACACCGTCGAGTGGTCACTAGCTGCCAGACTCCAGAACCTGAGCTTCATATGCACGTTGCTCGCAACTCGTTAGTAGTAAGCCCTGGCACGACGGAGCGGAATGCGGTGTGACACACGTCGGTTGGCAAACATGTTGTGATGTCTCAGTTTCATATACCATCTTCGCAAACTGCTCCTCGATTTAACAGTGCCCGGGGAGAAGTTAAATCTCGAGCCACCGTAATCGAAGGAAGTTAAAATCACACATAAGCCAAAAGCTGGGTAGACGCATGTAGTTTCTGACATACAGCAACCAATCCAGACATGGTTTTCGTAGACTGCGATATGCCACACCCACAAACAGTTCACCTTGTCTAAGGCGGATCAAGCACAATAACTGTTCGCACAGGCCATCTTCGCTGCGCTAGGCGTGTCCCAGTTTCCCGGATAGGGAGGACTAAATGTATAACAGCACGGCGCCACGATCATGTGGCCAATGATCTCGAGTTCCTGGCTAGTGACCTCTGGATTTAACCAGGTTTCGGCCAGTCCTACTACGTTCGGGCGACAAGATACAACGAAGTAAAATATATCGTCAAATTTGTTCATTAAACTACAAACTTTTGTGAAGGCTACGCGCAGGCCGCAGTAGGAACCGCGGACGTGCATGATGTGTCATCGACACGTTGATTCGGTTCGACGGACCCGGAGAACTACCCGAAAAGTTACAATGTGGAGCTTTGTTTCTTCATTATCATTGCTCTACTTCAACTCCGCGATAACGGACTTCAGTTTCTCTCTGTCCGACGGGTGCAAATCGGGACATATATGGCTCTTAGACATCTTAACCTACCGAGGCGGTATAGTATTGGCCTCGGGCTCATTTCATCAACAATGGGGATTTGCAGAGGCCGGGACTTCCTATCCTCTCTCTCTCTCTCTGAAATACGGGTGATTTACCTCAACAGCAACCCCTGTTTATTTACGTCGAGATGCTTATCAAGCAGGCTCTGCAGAAGATCTACGTCGTGGTCATAACGAGCCTGTGGACTAGCATCCGTCGACTCAGGCACGTGAAATATCCTAAGGTTACAACGCCCCTGATTTCTGGCAGTTGTCTTCGTTTCGCTTCGCTGTATTCTCCAAAGACCTTCATCGCCTGCGCTATCGCAAACCGGTACCTTAGTGTCCGTAGGATACAACACAAACACGCCAGCTGAGTCTCTTGCAAAGGGTGGACATCTCTCTGCAAAGCCTGCAGTCAGTTAGTAGGTGGGCTCGTTCCAACTTAGAGGATGAACCCACTGAGCTCCTCCCTACGGAACATTTCGCTCGTCTTGTAAGCTCGTGTGGATTCTCGGCTGTTGGTGATTGCACAGTTGCTTGTCCTTTCAGGCACAATATTTGGACAAAGTTATGCTGGATTTCACGCAGTAGTATGAATTGATCTACAGACAAACTAATACACGAAATATGGAAATTCATATGACACATTGGGCATGTAGCAGCATTAGCTCTGTGCCCAACTATTTTGCACCAAGTGCAACAGGAAGTTAGCTTTGTCATTATTGATAGCTTAGCAGAGGTGAAGGTAAAGGTGCCAAGTTTTGCGATAAGTACACGATACAAGTACCACAGTAAAATTAACGGACAAGACACTAATACACAATAAACGAATTCAGGATCGCAAAAAAACTGTATTTGACAAGAATAAACACGAAAAAAGCTACTTTACACAAAGTGGTGAACGGTGCGAACTGGCCTGTCAAACAGAGCGAGACAAGCGATCCGGCAAACTCTGGATAGAAGCCGCAAGAAGACAGGTCTTTGAGTAACTGCATATAAAATCCGTCAGGTCAAATGACCTATTTTTTGGAGAATATTTGCAAATTCCCTATCGGTAAAGTTTTTGTTCGGGCATTTTTGGAATTCCGACTACGGGTAGTGGCAAGCTATACCATATACTCACTACTCCGTTCGAAACATTGTTGGTGGGTGTCCCACTTGAAATCCATTATTGCAGTAAAAAGGAGTCGTTCATCATCCAAACTCCGAAAAATTTCGAATGTAGGTTTGAAGTATCCCGATTTCGTTATCACCATCCTGCCCGAAATGACCAGTCGTTTTACCGTTCTCGAAGCAGTCGTTACTACGCTGAAAAACGAAAAGTATAAATTTAGTACTTTATGATGCAGTTCTATCATTATGCGAATTGGTTGGGGACTGGTTCGTTACTACTTTCAGTCACATCAGAGACTGGATAAGGCCTACGTAGAGCGCAACATGTTACTATCGTTAGCGTGCCCGATAAGTTAAAAATAAACTGAGTCAATATTGCTATTCTAACACCGTGCAATACGGATGGAATCACCTGTCAATGCCTCAGATTACGAAAGAAGAAAAACACGACCTCGTGCCCAATACTCTTGAAGATTCCCGACGATACGAATGCACCACAATTCGTGCACAGTAAATGACTAAAGATCGCGAAAGGCTGCTTCAAAATGTTATGATCAAACACCTCTACAAAGTAGACCAACCAGAAGCATAACCTTTCAGTTCCTCGAACTCCTCATGCTCCTACTAGTGGAGAAAATAATGACGCAGAGATCAGTTATATGGACATTCACTTGTCGGCAGTGTCATACATAATAAGTGATGACTTGCGTGGCAGTCCTCATCGGCCTCCTGAGAGGTTCCAAAGCAGCGCCAACCTAGCTCACTATACACCTGCAGACTGCACATCTACCACCATGGTCGCTTCTACTAGTCACAGGTCTATAGAAAGTTGGCTGTAGGTATACCTGTGACCTGTAGAGCTCACAACCAAAACTCAACTCGCCAAATCTATATCCAACAGTGGAGTAGCCGAATAAATCAGGAAGCACCCATTCAGAACTTTCCCCAGTATAACTCGAAGCTCAGCAACTGTGAATCGATCACTACAGGAATGTAGTGATATCTGGCTAGAGCAACTGTGACAAAGTACACGATTTCAGGTTTCCGCGTGCTACGCAGAACTGTTATCCGGATAAGCAGCAGAAATCTAACCAAATATGTGCCCATAGTACCCTTGACTATGACTCCAACCCCCGGCTCTAATTTGGCAAAACTCTTATAAGTGTAATGCCGAAATAAGCAACGTCATAAACCTGACTCCAAGTATTGGCTTGGGGCACACAGATTGCAGACTAGCCCCAGGTAGGTAACCTTGGTGTGCTCTTACAGTGGGAACAGCTGTTCAAAACAGTCTGAGATAGCTACGAAAAGGAACAACCAGCACGTCGGTCTGTTGCATAGGACATTCAGGAGATTTGACACATCAATCTTCCCATGGATGCACGATTTCTAAGTGCGTCCTCATGCGCAATACGCCATCCGAGCTTGACAATTTTGGTTGTAGCGTCACCTAGAGGTGTATTAGAGACACCACAACGCAGGGGAACTAAGAATATAAACGGCCTGCGTAATCACTATTATCAAGGAAGGCTGAAGTTGCTGGGTTTTCAGCGGATGCTACCGAAGGCTGCGCGGCAATCTCATATCAGCGTACCAACTATTGAATAACTCCAACCACGCATACCGTCATTTGCTAAAGCTTAGCTACAACATTTGGCGCAGATGTAACTGTTTGAAACTAACTGGACAATACAGCCGAGTAGCGTGTCGACGGATTTACTTTACTCTTCGATTTTGTCTACGCTAGAACTCTCTCCCAAACTCAGTCGTATCCTCCCCTGCTTTGGACATTTTCGAAAAATGAATAGATGGTGTTTCTGCTTCCAGCACTGCCAACCTATACTGCGCTATTGTGGATTACATTAATCATGCCCATCTACCGGGTTTATGTGTCACCTAGACCCAAGGAGGCGGCGCATTAGTGAGCGACCACGTTGTACTTTTCTCACCCATTCCGTCAATGAGCACTGTACCCCGCATTCTTCTGTACGCTTGTATTCGATTATTATTTTACACTGACGTTATTTATCAACGCATTTGACTCGGTAGACGCTCGGTAGATGACTCATATCTTTTAACTTCATAATATTCATCTTAGCCTTACTACAGGACTTATCAAACACTTGTTTTTTAACCGGTGATAATCCGTTGTTCGTTGTTCATCATGTCTTAGCAAGGCCTAACAGGTCTGGATACTGGGAAGTTATGAGGTAGCATAATTCGTCACGTTAGTTCAGCAGACTACAGATGTTAGTAAACGCTAGATACCGACCGTAGTAGGAACCGCTAGGCGGGCTTGAAGCATAGGCAAACTGCTGATCCGGATTCGCCGGAACATCCAGGTAGCCACCCGAAAATTTACTATACGGATATTTGTTTCTCCATGGTCCGTGCGCCGCTATAATTCAAGCGTCGCAGTCTTGAGTTACTCTTTGTCTGCTGGATGTAAGTCACCACTCACTTGCATCTTTAAATATTTAGTCTACAAAGACAGGTAAATATCAAATTAGGACTGGATTCTTCAACAAACGTCATCCTCATAGATCGACATTTGCTGTTTTAATTTGTAACAGGTCGCACAAAGTTACATGAACCTCATTCCCCATTAAACAATCTTTGTGTTCAACTTTAACTGAATCTTTTTACGTTGCTCTCCTCCTTCTGAATTGGAATTGTTTGTGGTACATACGCGATCAACTGCAATAAGCACTTAAGTTATGCTACATGGAATTTCCGTGTGCAGTTATAGATTCATGGAGATTTGCTAAATGGTGTGGGATTTTGGTGGGACTATTTCTTTATGAGCTATGTATAGCGATTCCACCTCTTAAGTACAGAAACAAATTCACAACACACGACGTATACGTGAAAAATGCTGTGTACAGCGCCACACGTAATGCATACCACCAACTTTGGTCTTATCGTACTGTTCAGAGCGCTTCTCTCTAACTCACAGGTATCACGCATGCACCTTATCCATCGAGTTTGCCCATTTACTTGATTGGGGCTTAGCGATTCTATTACAGGCAGAGTAGAACAATTGTGTGATGAGAATATTTTTAATTTGGTTACACTTCACCTGTTACCTTTAAGGCACAAGATGCCATGAACGTTAAGCAGTAATCATTGGAACAGTACCAGTGGTTGCCCACCTGGGGCTTTTGAAATCCCAGCCGGTGCACCACCGGATAATTCAGTAGGTGCCACTTTCTCCTCTTCTGTTTAAATGGTTTAAATGTTGCGGAATGCCATAAAATAAGTGATTAGTACGATACCGGCATCGACTGTTTATTTCAGATAAAGTCTGGGCATTTGATATTTGAATGCGAATCAAAGACAGCGGCCTTGTCGCTCTGGCGTTGGACCCTGGATAGGATGTACTTTTTCACGTGAGCTTCAGTATTTATCGTTGAAAATCTGCCCGTTAGAAATAGCTATTAATGGTTAGAAATCTGGTTGTGAGCTCTATAAGTAACAGTATGCAGCTATTTACTCGTACTTCCGTTGGGTTATAACTATTGCTTCTCATACGTGTGTAAACCACTTTGACAACTCTTTCAGTTGAACACTGGAATGTTGGCTCTTACCAAGTAGAACCAATGGCAAATGATTGACTGAGTTTGTATCGATAAAAATGATAATAATAATAATAATAATAGTACTAATACTAATAATGAGGACAATAATGACAGTTCATCAGTTGTTTGAACTGATGCTCCATTCCTGTACACACATAGTGACAAACGGAGCGAAAAACAATATAACGGAGAGAAGTAAGACCTGGCGTTTAACTTTTCTCCCTTAGCAAACGTACTGGGTCAAGGTGCCTGCCCGACCTCAAAGACATAAGGTCTCAAACAGCTGGCTATCATGCAAGGGTAAGGCGGCACCGGCGAGACTGCTCTCTTGAGACTTTCACTGCGCTGCATCATAAGCAGCTGTACCCCGCGGATAACTCAGCACTAAGCACACTTTAAGCAACAGCTCACCAGGAGACGACAGCAGACGCGTTACTGGTGTCGACTGCGAGCGATGTCCTGTAAAGTCTTGGACCAAGCACAAGGTGAGTCACGTGGACTGCAACCTGCGAAGCGCGACAGACCAAGGTCACCGAGTTTGCTCGTCATTGACTTCATTTGTTCTGCCAAGTTAACTTTTGCTCACCATGAGTTTTGTACCACGATACATCTGGCAAACAAGACAAGGCTCTCCTCGGTAAACGGCATACGTAGTATGTGATCAAGCCAACGCAACTTATTCATTGCTGTTTGTTGTTATAATAAACTAACCTGAGTATCACTACCCAGTACTGGCCTACTCAACTCATCGTTGCGGACACGCCGGTACCATCCAACACCTGCAATCCTCCACAAGCAGCGATGGTCAGAAGGCTGAATGTGTCTCAGATCCTCAAATCGGAGGGGCCAAGTCACCTTCCAAAACACTAAGACAATCCTAAGAGTGGCCTCGTAAACCGGGAATGTTAAGCAAAGGATTCCCCCTCATGAGACAGTGTAAAGAAGACAGTTCTAGCTTTTACAATGACTGAACTGACTTCAGTTGCTGTGCGCCCATTGTTGCCGATTCAGTTGGCAATGTATGCAAATGGACCTACTACCTCGCGTCATTAAGTGGCTAGTGGTCCTGCAACAGCACTTTGCACATTCAAGGTGCGAATCGCATGCCAAATGATAGGCGCCTTCTAGAGAGCTTATTCAGTGTTGACTGGGATACCCCAACATCGTTAGACTGAAAAACAGTATCGTCCGCATTAGCGCGGTCGACATCTTTTACAACAGACAGCACCTTAACACGTACGCAATGGAATGCTCCATGCTGAGCCAGCGACGAAGCTGGAAAAAATGTGGAAGTTAGGCAAGCCTAAAAATGCGACTTCTTGTTGGAAGGACATCAAACAGAATGCCGTAGAGCCTGATACTGCTTGCTTTTTGGGTACACGGCAAATAAAAGATTTACATATTTCCTGGGACACATTTTTGAAGTCATTACCAACCGAATAGATTGATCAACTTAGCCGAGTACTCTCTTGAAGTCGACAAGCACAGCTATTATCGGTGTGCAGTACGTGTGCCGCTGTTCTAATAGCTGCCACAGCGTGGTGTACGCAGTTCTTTCTTGAGCGGAACCCCACTTGTGCTTTCCTAATCCGAGAACCCCATTCCGCAATAAGTCGACGGACGAGAAGTGAATACAATACTTTTGTTACCACCGGTGTTAGGCGCGGTTAGGAATTACGTGGTTTCTGGCCTTCAGTAAAACGGTAGTAAGCGACTGAATTGCTCTGATCGTTTGTTTCAACAACTGCCACGGCATCTCGGCCGGTTGTTCAAACAAATTCTTCCGGGGTCCGATGGCCAGTTGCTTTACTCTTCTTATTTTCACGAAACTACAAATGTTGTCTGCCAAGTACGATTAGGTCAAATATGCATTCGAATTAATAGGCCAATCACTACTTCTCTTATTTAACCTTGTTTGCCTCATCATCGGGTAACTTATGCGTAATACGTTTTAACGCTACAGTCTCAAAGAATCCAGTCAAGCGAAAAAAGTGCGTTCAAATGGGAGCCTACTACGACGCCACAACACTTACCGTTTCAGGTGAGGAAATTGGCGATCTGTAATATAACACCAATTTTCTACTCGGCTTATTTTGACCACTGAATTTGACATTTTCAGCGGACGCTCCCAGCAGGAACTTCTATCATTACCCATCCAAAAGACCAAAATGGAGTTCGTACGGTAAGTTGCACAATTGGTGGCCACTTAGTTTTGTTGCTTAGCGTATTGGGGGTGCACATTCACTCTATATAAAATAATATTCCTGCAACCATACTACAGCACCTTTCTAACTTTATGCATCACGGAAGTGTTCGTCAAGTCACTGTAGTGTTGTAATAATTCAGAGCGCCAGGATAGACCAGCCCGTTCCACAGCTATTCCTACACGCACGGGGACAAAAGTTGTCGCATGGTGAGCGAGAGCATACACAAGTTATGCAAGAACATTCTAGCAATTACCGTCCATCATATCCATCACTGGAAAGCTATACATCGTGAGTGGCCACATAGCCACTATACCCATACATAGAATAATTAATGCCACTGCAGACGCGGAAATGCCGTGCACTACAAGCACATGGTCCTCACTGTTTTGGGGCACTTCACTTCTCCGATAAACCAACTGTCGCTGCGAATGCATTAAAGAACATTCCGCAAATCTTCATACAGTCCCGACAATTTTGTATTCGATTTTGTTAGTTGCAATCTTTCCTACAGACCACCTTTACGCAAGAAATTGCGTTACCAACAGGCAAAACCAACTGAAGCAAAAACATTCTCCTAGTAAATACACACCGCTTTGACGGCAGTTCCGCTAGCGTGGCACTATTGCAGCGTGTGACGAACCATGAAACATGATACATACGGAGTGTCTACGATGGTGAGAAGCACTATGGCTTTTGCTTATTCATCTCACCCACGGACCGCTAAACAGCTATGGATTATTTCTTGCTTCACACTTGGAAGCAAGCTCACAAGAGCTGGTAGCTTGAAGATTCACACGACCTCTTATCATCCACAGCTGTACGTTTGAGTGTTACACTAAAGACTGGTTGGCTAACTCCACACCTTTATCTCAATGCTGAGTCCAAGCAATATTCAAGAGCTCTGCTGGTCAAGTGGCCCAGTGGATCCACATTGGAATGTGAACAATGAGTGACTTTGATACGGCTTAAGAAGCTCGGCGTTTCAACTCGCAGCGTGGTCTGATTGGGTTATCGAAAAACGGTAATGAAAATAATTTACCACTTTTACCATCAAAAGGATTACTTATCACTTGTAATGCACTATCCCGGTACTCCGTGTAGGTTCATAGCTCCAACAATTGTTAGATAATAACCCTGCTGTGTTACATAATAGTAGAATAAAAGGGTGCTAGGTAACAATATGTGATTAGCTTAGTACGTAATCCACCTAACTTTAAATATGGCTAGTGTAGGTACAGAAACGACCGATTCGGGAGAAGCGTTTCACTAGGGACACACGCGAATAAAATAGAAATTTCTACGGTACGCCTGGCGCCTGTACTGTTCTGCCATTTTGAAGGCGTGACCTCTAGGGTTGGTGTTGCTGCTGAGTTGCCGCAAATAGCGGCACACTTGCTTTGGATTGGGTAAAATCAAGTACGCCATAATCAGATCGCATTGTAATCGGCTATACCGCCTGCTGAATACTCCCAAACGTTACAGACTTTGCTAGCATGGCGGACTGCGCATTAGAATGACGTATTTGGGAGCCCAAGTTTGAGATTGGTCCAGTGCAGGGAAGTCGTGTTTTAGCCATGGATATCAGGCTGGAATTGCGCATCCATCGAACATTCGCACTTAACATCTATTAGAAAACAAATGTGTCTGGATATACGAGCCCCCATCTTGATAGTCTGACATGTTGGTTAGCAGTTTCCGATACCTTTTCGGGTTATTTAGAACAACCTAAGTCATCCTGAACCAGCACATTCAGGTTCGGTTCGACGAAAGATCCCTGCAGTGCTTGGGCTCCGAGTCTGTATTAGTAGATAATCTGGTATCTTCTAGAAAGTACCTTGCATTTGGTCACGTTAAATTGCGTCAGATTTTAGGTTGTCCACTGATGTACGATATGTAGCTCACACTGAAGTAAACTCTGATCGGAATCCGCCTGAATCCTGGAATGAATCTTGATGTTTGCAGCAAACATTCAGAAACTTGAAGCGGTTGTCTGTGCAAGGTCATTAATAAATACCAAAAACAAGCGTAGTCCTAGAACTGAGCCCTGAGGATCGTCACACTCGACTTGTATGGGGTTAGCTAAGGGGCTCCGAATTTTGACCACTAATTACTGTTGAAGGAGAAAATTGGCGACCCAGCTCAAAAAAGCTTCACCGATCTCGTAAATACGAGTTTAGAAATGGCAGTGATATATTTCAGACGATGGGATGCCTGCGAAAAATTCAGGTAGATCACCTCGATGTCCTTTTTCAACTTCAGTTGGCTCGGTCCAACCACCTTACTATCAGTAACGGTACTGTACGGTCACTGTCGATGGAAACTGTGCTGCCCAGGAGCAAGAATGTCGCAGATTTCCAGCTAACGCACCAGTTCGTCGGCAATGATGGATTTTATAACGTTGGAGAGTACAGGGAGAAGAGACACCGGGTAGTAATTTGATGGCTCCCTCCCCCTTTCACATTTGTGAATCGGAGTTATTGTTCTAAACTTCCACATAACAGGAACCCGGTTCTGGTTTAAGCAGCGCCGAGAGAAAATTGCCAAAGATACTGCCAGTTGTCTTGCTGCTGCTCACAGTGCTTCTGAGCGATTATTAACGACACCCGGCGAGCTGTGGTTGGGCAGAGACGTCAGCTTTTACAAGAGCGATTCTGCGGTCAAAGAGATCTAGTTAACTGCTTGCCGCTGGGCAACAAAAACTATGAGTTTGTCTGATAGGAACACCCTCTGAAATGTAAATGCATATTGCGTCCGCAACGTGTTTGCTGCTTCTGTATCCTACCGTGTTGGGCTACGAGCCGATCGGAGCAAACAAACTCCTTTCTCATCTGTTGAAAGCCATTGGCATGCTTTTACACAGTTTATGGTTGATACCGAGTGTTTCTACCATATTTTGTTGATGTACGGCTTTGTCTTCTCTGAGAATTTTAGTGCATTGGTTACGTTGGGCTACCTAGTTGCACTAACTCTATAGTGTTGGAGATAATGCATGCGTTCACCATGCCACGTTCCGTACCTCCATACATTTCTGCGTTTCTCTCCTTACCAACGAAACCGTTCTTATTCCCACTGTAAATCCTTGACCCTGATATATCCATAACCATCATCCTCATTATACACATTGGTAAGAGGCGGGAAACACCTCAGCTACTGTGCTCCAAGCAATCCGAAAAGGTCTGGAAGACTGGGAACCGACACGTCGGACTGTTGCGACGGGAGTTTGAACAAATATACAGCTCCATATTTCGACAAATGCTTAGTGCGTATGTTTGCTCCCATGTCAAATACGCAATTCAAGACTGGTATCCATGACTGAAACACGATCTTAATGCAGTGGGACAGCCACAACGTCGGACATCTAAGCACGTAACTGGAATTCGCAGTCGTTCATACTAGGAGAGGTTGCAGCAATCGCGTGCTCTTCAGCGGAATCTACCGCAGACTACGAGGCGGCCTGATTATCGAATACTTGATTTTACGAGACCCACATCTTGTGTGCCGCCCTTTACTGCGACTCAGCACGAATGCAACCCTGAAGGGCCACTCATGGAAACTCGCTGTACAGTATAGCCGCTTGGAGTGCCGCAGAAATTTCTTTTCCCTTCGTGTCTGTCACCCGTGGAATGCTCTCCCAAAACCGATCGGCTCTGCACCGACACTAACAATATCTAAAAGACGGTTGGATGACACAATCATTCACTTAACTTTGTCAGTTAGCACTACGTCTCCATCCTACACTTGGATTTTACAATGGAATTATTTGATGTTAACTGCGGGTGCTGCGAATCTAAGCTGATTGCCAGACTACAGAGGAGCAAACGATAAGTCCTTGTTTTCATATGTTATGTACCGACTATCTTACGATCATTATTATCATTATTGTTATTTCGATATCCCCACCAACTCTCCAAGGGGACTTGTAAAGCAACGCATCTTAACCCGTAGAAATCCCTTGTTCATTATTCATTGTTCAAGAAAGGGAAAATGCAAGGTGCAAGCCAGCTGTTCTCCCGGTAACGGATGGGCATCGTTTCGGTAAGCTACCAGCCGGCTACTGTGCAACGAAATCAAAAGTTACTATGCAAAATTATATAAGGCTAATTAGTGGGATCGTGGTTGGAGGGGAGGCTAAGATGGATGGGGTGGGACAAAGAAACTCACAGCAGAAACTCCACTGAGGTCGGCTCCTATCCATGTCATCAAATGTATCCAGCCAAACATGTTCACTGTCTTTCGGACCCCAACCAGGGCGTCGTGACGCTTCAACGGAGGACAACTTCGAAGTGAGATCCTTCATTCCTCTTGACCAAGTCATCGCTTGGTCACTCCTTCTCTTTTTCCATCTACACCCCGGGCGCGCAAATGACACGGGAAGCGGGAGTCGGTGGGCTAGCGTGCGTAACACGTGGCCAGCCCATCGAAGCCTGGTGCATGAAATAACGGTGCTGAGCTGTTCATTTCTTTTTCCTGTACCTTAAACTAGGCGTCCAACGCGCTCGTTGCTTATTCAATGTTCTCAACAGATGTGAGCCAAATTGCGAAGGCACCGGTGGTCGAACGCGACTAGCCTCTTTATGTCGGCTGATCTAAGGGGCCAGGTTTCACAACCGTACAGTAGGGTCGAACGTACGGCTGCATTGTACACTCTACCCTTCAGGGCGAGAGTGATGTCGCGCCGGCACCATAAGTGGTAAAGGTTAGCAAAGCGCCTCGGGCTTTTGGTATGCGGTTCATGAACTCATCTTCAATCCCACGTGTGTTGATAAAACTTCCAAGATAGTTGAATTTTTGTACGAGTTCTAGCTGATCTTCACCAAGGGTCAGTGCATGAACCGGTTCAGTCCAATCATGGAGGAACGCTTTGAACTTCAATGGTGCAAAGCAAGGCCCGAAGTGACGAACATCCAATGCTGCTCTGTCCAGTGCCGCTTGGCATATTTGTGAGCTGTCACCGATTAGGGCAATCTCGTTTGCA